CCAGGAACATAACTAAAACTCTGAGGTTTGTTAAAAACCAAACCGTTTGAAAATCGGTTTAAAATTAAGCAATCTATGGTTATTTGAATGCTACATGCCCAGTGGTCTGTAATGTTATGAATGGGCGAGCTTCCCATAGCAATATGGCCGCCATGCGCGGACGTCGGCTAACCGCGTGCGTAAGCTAGCTAGCGTTTATATCTATGATCCTTAGTGCCTAGGCAACCAGCGTCCAATCATAAGTGCTCACTGAGTGCTCCCACTTCCGGAATATATCTGTGCGGAAGTAAATATGACTCACTCGAAAGCAGCATGGTCCTATTGGATTACTACGGTTACAATGCAGAGTGCAGACTGACGAGCGGCAACACGGTAAGCAAATGTAGCCTACTTACATTGCAGGGGGGAAAGTTAGTGTGGTGACAACAAGTCCAATTGGGAAAGAAGTCAAAACAATACCAAAACCACACACCAAATCTCTTCCCACTTAATTCACGGGACATAAATCTGACACCAAGTTTGTTGTGGAAATGTTGTAATGAAGGATCTTGAGTCAAATCTCGTCTTTGTGAGATCTTTTCAATTTGGCAAGAAAAAGGAGCAAGTTTCATAGAATACCAAGACAGTTTGCAAGAGTCCACAGAGTTGCAAACCAAAAATGAGTTTCATACTTGCACAAAAAAAGAAAAGGAACATGTCAGTACTGAGTCAGTATGTGTCCACTTCGTGACACCGCTCATAACTTTAAGAGCACCGGTGATGCTCCAAAAAGAGAAACTAAAAAGTGTCTTCATGATTGTCGGTGTAGGTGTCACACACACACACATACGAATACTCTATGTGGTTTGTCCCCTCCAGGCTTCGCTGGGGAGAAGTAAGGAACATTCTGGAGAGGTTGCCGATCCATCAAAGAGCTAAGTCCCTCACTCACTCACACACTTATTCCTACAGGTAAATTTAGTGTGACCACCTAACCTGATGAGCATGCTTTTGAAGTGTGAGAGAAAGTCAGAGTACCTGAGAAGTACCTTGTAGTGATTTTGTGATGACAGCACTAATGCGATATCGTATTATCCCCCGTCTGTACTACCGATGTTCTGAACCTGACAGCTGATAAGGATTAAAACCTGTGGTGCTGCTCCTTGGCACTCTGGGGGAGGTAGCAATCTCTTGCAGAAGCTGCTTAAGGCCCACACATCCTCATGCGTGCATGCGGGGACTGAGAGGTGTCTGTGATCATTGATCTCAGTGTGGTTTACATCCCTCTCTTCCTCTGGTCCTCTTTGAAATCCAGAGGGCAGTCCAGGACAGAGCCAGGTTTCTTGTCAAATTTCTTCATGCATTGCTTTTACTTTTTCTGTCCTATTCCACAATATCAAAAGAGATTTCACTAGTCTTGGAGAGGCTTGGTACCGAATTGCACAATATCTAAATAAATATATCTGCATGCAAAGGCAGTTAAAAATGAGTTCTGAATCAAATATTTTAAAAAGACATGAATATGTTTTATCGCTATGCTGCAAAATTCAACCATTGTTTTGGTTTTTAGAGTCCTAGACTGAATAGAAACAATTGATTTTATCTCTATCCACCAGACAAGCAAAAGTTGTTTTCTTCTCAAGAGGACAGACTTTTGGCTTTTTCACTTTTTGCACATCTGCAGTATGCTTGAGTCATCTCAGTAAACCCTTCACAAGAACATTGTGTTCTTTTTTAAACTCAAGATTACACCAAAGCAATCCTCTGAGGTAATATTCAGAGTTAAAGGGATATTCCGGTGTAAATTTAAGTTAGGGTCAAACACACTGTAACACCCCCTTGAGAGATGAATGTTGCCGACCGCTTGCTTCTCTAGTTATACCAACTTTAGTAATGACTGCAGGATGGTAATACACAGTGGTGAAGTTAGGTGCTGTTCTGAGCATTATTTGTAGCTATAGAGTGGCTTTTTGGTTGAGGTTTGTTAATGGCTCCTGTGGTCATTACTAAAGTTGGTATAACTAGAGAAGCAAGCAGTTGGCAACATTCATCTCTCGAGGGGGTGTCTAATTCGCTGTTCCAGTCTGTTTGACTCTAACTGAATTTTATGCCGGAATATCCCTTTAAGATCCACCAGGAATAGATAAATGGGTCGTGTGGGCAAATAGACGAAGAAATCCTGGATTGTTTTTGCTGGTTTATCTAAAGGGGTGAATTTTTCTTAGTCTCGACACAAAGCACACGTCACCTCAGGAAACAATGAAGCATCCATGAAGAAGTCTTAGCTTGTCTTTTTTTGAGCTCGGATGGTTGTCAGAGCGAGAGGAACAAAAAGCTCTTGTGAATAAATAACACCAATTTACTTCTGTCCTCTGCCTAATCTTGCTAACATCGTTGCTTTTAAAATTCCATTTATTCCCTCTTCACTTTCTCTCTGTCCCCGAATCAAAAGGTCTCAAGTGTAAAGATATCAAGATCAATTGTATCATTCATTCGCTTGCCTTTTAATACTTAACCCTAGCAGTGATTACATTTTTTGTAGATGTACTTTCTCTTTTTTCCCAGAGGCACTAGATGAATGCCCTTGATGCCCACTGGAGACCTCGCAAAATATTCTCTGTACTGTCCAGAAAAAATCCTCACAGTTGTCAGGGAGATGTGACAGGGTTTTTTTATCACTTCAAAAGTGAAATGGTTTCTTCTACCTTTAATGGTACATCACTTCAGTTTTCCTCTTTGTTCTCATTGAAATAAAACGTTCTGTATTGATTTTAGTTTGACATTTCTATATTCTGCTAATTTTCCCATAAAACATATTCAACTCGTTGGCAAAGACTTATATTTTCAAGAACTTTCAAGCTCTTATATTTTAGCTTTTTGTTTGGGTATGCTCTTTGTAGGCTGTATATTTCACAAGGGATTCTATCAAACAGGAAATATCCATATAGTTATTTTCTGGTCTTTAATCAAAGGAAAGTCATGGAAAATCAGAGGGACAGCAAAACAGAAGGGCTGTACAAAGTTTGTTGATATTCTTTGGCTTTTGTGTTACACAGCTTGTTAAAGGAATCCGTTGACATGCAGACATGTTGTGTTTTTAGCTAATCATAGCACGGCCTCTGGTGAGACGGAGGAGGAGCCGGACCGGGAGTCAACCCACAGTGTCCAGAACCTCCAAGCTCAGTGCGCTCCACCCAGCAATCCAACCGAACATCGCAGGGTCTTGTGGCCAGCTGCACATAAGGAGACTGAGTGGCGCCAGTTCGATGAAGATGCAGATGCCGCTCTGGAAGCGTCATCAAAGGGGGGAGTGGACCAGCAGCTCCAAACGATGTGCACCTTCATCATCTGCATCGGTGCTGAGCGATTTGGGATCAAACAGCCAAAGGCTAAGACATCAGCAAGACCAAACCGGCGAGAGAACAAGATCACTGCACTCAGGAGAGACCTGAAGACCCTGAAAAAGCGATTCAAGAAGGCGAGCGAGGAAGAAAGGCCCGCCCTGGCTGAGCTCCGAGCCATCCTCAGGAAGAAGCTCATTTCCCTACGTCGCGCTGAGTGGCACAGGAGGAAGGGTAGAGAGAGGGCCCGCAAGCGCACTGCTTTCATAGCTGACCCTTTTGGGTTTACGAAGAAGCTGCTAGGGCAGAAGCGGAGTGGGACCCTTATGTGCCCAGAAGACGGCATCAACCGCCATCTCTCAGAAACCTACAGCGACAGGCAAAGGGAAGAAGACCTGGGCCCCTGCAGAGAGCTTATTATACCACCTCCACCCTCCAGCCAATTCAACATCAAAGAGCCAACACTGGCAGAGGTCAGGAACACAGTCAGGGCTGCACGAACCAGTGCAGCACCAGGGCCGAGTGGCGTGCCATACAAAGTGTATAAACACTGCCCGAGACTTCTGCAGAGGCTGTGGAGGATCATCAGGACAGTATGGCGAAGAGGCAGGGTAGCCAAGCAGTGGAGGCACGCCGAAGGTGTCTGGATACCGAAGGAGGAAAACGCAAGTGACATCTCACAGTTCCGAACCATCTCACTGCTCAGTGTAGAGGGCAAGATCTTTTTCAAGATCCTTGCCAACCGCATGACAGAGTTCCTCCTGAAGAATTCCTACATAGACACCAGCGTGCAGAAGGGGGGAGTTCCAGGCTTTCCAGGCTGCATTGAGCACACTGGAGTTGTTACCCAGCTGATCCGAGAGGCGAGAGAAAACCGAGGAGATTTGTCAGTCATCTGGCTCGACCTGGCAAATGCCTACGGATCCATTCCCCACAAGCTGGTGACCAAAGCTCTGACTATCCACCATGTCCCGCAGAAGATCACAGATCTCATACAGGACTACTACAACAGTTTTAGCATGAGATTCACCTCTGGATCAATAACGTCAGCATGGCACCGCCTAGAAAAAGGCATCGTCACTGGTTGCACCATATCAGTGACGCTGTTTGCTCTGGCAATGACCATGCTTGTCAAGGCAGCAGAAGTGGAATGCAGAGGACCTCTCTCTAGATCTGGCATTCGCCAACCGCCAATCAGAGCCTTTATGGATGACCTAACAGTCACAGCAACATCAGTGCCAGGGTGCCGCTGGCTCCTTAAAGGTCTGGAACGGCTAACATCTTGGGCGAGAATGACATTCAAGCCAGCTAAGTGCAGGTCCCTTGTGCTGAAGAAGGGGAAAGTGGAGGACAAGTTCCGCTTCCACATGAACGGTCTTCAAATCCCATCTCTGACAGAGAAGCCGGTGAAAAGCTTGGGGAAGATCTTTAATGCATCTCTGAGAGACACAGCAGCGATCCAAGCTATGCACTCAGAGCTGAAGACCTGGCTCACTGTGGTGGACAGATCAGGCCTCCCAGGGAAGTTTAAAGCCTGGATATATCAGCATGGCATCCTGCCAAGGCTTCTGTGGCCACTACTGATGTACCAGGTCCCAGTTACAACGGTGGAGGCCTTAGAGCGAAACATCAGCCAGTTCCTGCGCAGATGGCTGGGCCTGCCGAAGAGCCTGAGCTGCATTGCACTTTATGGGCACACCAACAAACTGCAGCTCCCATTCTCAAGTCTGACAGAGGAGTTCAAAGTAACAAGAGCCAGGGAAGTGTTACTGTACAGAGACTCCTCCGACACCAGAGTCTCCTCTGCAGGCATCGAGGTCAGGACTGGAAGGAAATGGCGAGCGCAGGAGGCAGTCCAGCTGGCAGAGGCAAGGTTGCGGCATGGTGCACTAGTAGGCTCTGTGGCGGTTGGGCGAGCGGGACTCGGCTGCCATAAAACACCACACTACGACAGAGCACAGGGGAGAGACAAGCGGCAGATGATCCAGGGTGAGGTCCGAGCAGAGGTGGAGGAGGAGCGGCGCAGCAAGACTGTGGCCATGCGCCAGCAAGGAGCTTGGACCAATTGGGACCATGCACTGACTCGGAAAATCACCTGGTCAGAACTTTGGAGGTCAGAGCCAGCAAGACTCAAGTTCCTGATCCAGTCAGTGTATGATGTCCTCCCAAGTCCATCTAACCTGCACTGCTGGGGGCTGGCAGAAACACCATCATGTCCACTCTGCCCCGCAAGAGGAACGCTGGAGCACATCCTGAGCAGCTGCCCGAAAGCACTGGGAGAGGGGAGGTACAGGTGGCGCCATGACCAGGTGCTGAAGGCAGTAGCTGACACCATCTATGCTGGAATCCAGCAAAGCAAGCACCAGCCTCCAGCAAGGCATAACATCACGTTCGTCAGGGCTGGGGAGAAACCACAGTCACAGCCAAAGGTCCCAGGTGGTCTTTTATCCTCAGCGGGAGACTGGCAGTTGAAGGTGGACCTGGGGAGGCAATTGAAGTTTCCGGAGCACATCACCAGCACGACACTCAGGCCGGACATGGTCTTAACATCAGAGAGTTCGAAGCAGGTGGTGCTACTGGAACTGACAATACCCTGGGAAGACCGGATCGAGGTAGCCTATGAGAGGAAAAAGGCTAAATACCTGGAACTGGTGGAGGACTGCAGGCTTAATGGGTGGAGGGCCCGCTGTGAGCCCATTGAGGTTGGATGCAGAGGATTCCCGGGACAGAGCCTGCACCGCGCACTCAGGCTCCTTGGAATAAGGGGGGCTCAAGAGAGGAAAGCCACCAAGAACATCAGTGAGGCAGCTGAGAAAGCCTCTAGGTGGCTTTGGATTAAGAAGGGCGATAATTGGTTTAGCGCGCTGCTTGGACACAAGTCGGGGTCTGATCAGCCCCGGCTGGGTCGCCCAGGTGAGGGTGTCTGATGATCTAAGACCCGAAACACCCCGTGACCCTGGGTTCATCACTGAGGATGTGTCCAAGCTGCACCACCAAGGTGTTTGTTAAAACTTAGTGGTGGTTATGTTTTAAAGTCCAACTCCAATCTCTTTTATTTGTTTGTTTTTATGACTTAAAGTGTTCTCAGTGGTCTTTAAATTGTGATGATGAAAATCATGTTACCTGTGTCATTTTCAGGAGCTTTTCTTCTGCAGAGCTCATTAGCAATTCGTCTCTGAGTCGTGGATGGAGACACACTCCTCTTTATGCTTGCTTGAAGCCTAACATTGCCAGTATAGTAGAAGTGGCAGGTAACATAGCAGCTATTCAGCTCTCAGACACAAATGTCTTTGGGGGCATGATCATTGCAAACCGCCAATGCACGTGCTTGTTCCGTGATTGTCCTCTCTAGTTTTTGGAGAGTGGCCTGCATAGCGGGGCTCCAGGGGCGGAGCTTGGATTTGCTATGTAGGAAATCTCACTGAATCTGAACCTGCCATTTGTGTCTGCCAGAGATTCACAGTGATTTGAATGCAGAAATACTCCGAAATGCAATTTTGCACTTAGTTTTCTCATGATACGTCCTGTAGCATCAGAAAAATGCCATATGAACATGTAGACAACAAGAAAAACATGATTTTCATCAGAGTGGGTCTTTAAGCACTTAGCTGTACTGCTCTTACCCCCCATGTCAATATTAAACTTCTTCCAACCTCTTTTTGTGTTAGAAAAATCATGCGCCAATAATGGTTATTTTTGGGGGACTGGCAGCACTCGATTACTTACAAAAGACTGTCAAACACAATCGCCTTGTCAGATGATTATCACTTGTGTGACAACCATCTGTTTGTGTTGTGTTGCAACAGGCTGCCAAAGCTGTATTTGTTTTTTTGTTTTTTTTCATTTTGCACATTTCCTTTTGTTAATATTTTAAAGTGATTTTGGACAAACATCCATTCCATAAGTCTGAGTTAATACCACGCTGTTATGTTAATTTATGAAATTAAAGGCAGTGTTGTCAATCGTCAACCATGCCTTTAACTAAATACTTTGTTTCAGGTCCAAATTTGTCCTCAGATGTATTGATCTTTTTTTTTTGCCACTAAAAGCCAACATAAATAAGTAAGAAGTTTAATGTGAACTTTTCTTGAGCTTGTTGTCTTTCCTGTTCTTTTCTCTTTTACTCAGTTTTCCCAGATAATCACATACACCAGAGAGAACAAACTTACCTTTACACCAGAGGAGAAACTCCTACCCAACATACTCATGCCCTGGAGTCCCCTAAAATCTGTTCACTCTCACAGAAACCTTCGTCACGCTCAGCTATCTTCATTCCCTGGTGCTTCAAACTTATATCATTTCTCTGGCATCTGGCAGCCGAAGGGTATTGATCCTCAGAAGTTGCCTGTCTCCCTCTGACCTGCTTAAGGCCCCAGCATTAAAACAACAGGCACCATGACAGAAATTCAACACACAGACTTACTTTGCCTTACCTCATCTTTTCAGGCAAATAAAGCATCATACCGTTCACCTGTAACCGGAGCTACAGCCCTGGCTTGTGGCGAGGAGCTGTGTTGCAGTTTAGACACAACATGGCTGATACTCAAAGCAAGAAACTTTGGTGACAATCAGAAGGAAATGCATCATTTCACGGTGGAGTAGAGATGGACTGTGGATCAAATCAGAAGGCAGACATTTGTAAAATTGTTTCAAACCATTTTTCAAGCCTTTTTGCAACAGTATACATATTATTTTATTCATCTGTAATTGCACAGAACAGAGAAAAATCCCACAATTGATTGTCAACAAGGCAAAACTGCACATTAGGACACAAAGCTTTTTTTTTGAGAATAACAGACACCAGAGTTTCTCCTCCCTCATCCTCTTTGTTGAAACTGCGCAGAGTGAAGTGTAATAAACAGGTGGATGGATAGAAAACGTCTTAGCTTTGTCTCGGATCAGATTCCTCAGAGGTGTTCTTGCCTGCTTTTAGGCACCGTGGAAAAATAGAGCATTTGAATGAGAACTCGATTACACCGAGTGGTTTACTTTGTAAGATTTTTTCAGCTCTTGTAAGTGGGATAAAACCTTGAAAGATGAAAGACTGTGTGTTTTTTATTCCGTGATGGAGACATTTCATCATCACTTTACATAAATACAGCAGAACTTTGCATCAGTACAATATGGACAGTGCTTTTACTGGAATAATACCTCTTTTTTTCCCCAAGATTAGACACTAGCTCAATCATACAGAACTTTGCAAGATAAGTTTGGTGGTTCGCTTTTATCTGGTGTTTGCAAAAGCTGTAGACTTGTACAATCTCTTTCCCTGTGTGTGATGAACCAAGCATAACAGGCTCCAACATGCAGTTCCCCCTGATAACAACATAAGAAGCTTATCAGGGATCCCCACTAAATAGAGCGCAACCCTTAACTCTGCCCAGCGTGGCGCTTACATGACACACAAAATAACGCCCATGAAAACACATCTTCATAATAATCAGCAGTAAATAATGGCACCATATGACAAATCTTAGCAGTTGATTGCTTGTGGGATAATAAGCAAGGCCAATGTGGGCACAAGATAATTAGCTTGTTTATTCAGGATAACAGTGATCACTCTGTGGACCCTCAGGGACTCTTGGAAAACCAGAACACAACAGTCATCCTCTGCTTACGGCTCAGACTGTAAGATTGATGCAATCTTATATAGCAGCAACTTTTAAAACTCCATAAACAGAAGTCTATCCCCCCAGGAGGAGACTGTAGTGCGGTGATTTTTCTGGCAGAAACATTAAGCGTTAAGTTTGGGGGTGTTTGTGTAATGATATTCTGGTTGAAAAAGAACTGCGTCACTTTTCTTTTCTTCCAGACGTGTACGAATATTTTAAGATGAATAACAATAAGTTTCCTCGGCATGAAAATTAATGATACTGTTCTGGCTGGACCAAAGTCTGAGGCATGCAAGTGTTTAAAGCGAACACTGTCATGATTATCACACCACAAGCCCTCAGAGTTGCTTTGTAAACTCAAAATTATCCCTTACACCCTTCAGAAAGCCCTTTTTTGTGCTCGGGCCATTTTTGTGCATAATTTTACCTCATTTTTCATTGCACTCAGATAACTCTTTTTTTCTTTTTTTTTGTCTGAAACATAAAAGCAGGACAGAAAGCCCACACAATATTAGAAAATGCTTCAATGACTTAAACACAGCTGAAAGGAACACAGAGTAACAATAACACAAGAAGCAATCTCCCTTCATTTCTAATTTGTATTCTCATTCGTCCAAATTTAGCACAAATAAACTACATCGTCAACATCACAGTTTGATACAATAGCGAGGAGTTAACATGAACACAATAGTCTTTTCAATCATCCCTGATTTGAAGTCAATCCCTCCATTGCGAAGCATTTTTACAGAGTAAAAGTTAATGTGAAGTGCTGAATGTTAACACGATCACTCTGCACTCGAGCTGCAGTTATCACAGTGTGACGGGATACGATCTACATTTTCATGACATGCATTGTTACTTTTATTTCACAAGCAGAGATAGGTCTTGAAAATACTGATGCGTTACACACGAAGAGTTTTCTTTCATTCCATTACTGTCTGAGGCATCCATGTGTTTCACATTTTATAATCCTGTTCATTATCTCCAGACTTCCCCTCTCATCCTTGTGATTCTCTGAAGTTGCATGTTCACATAAACCACAAACAAATGAAACCACCTAATAAGATAATATAAACCTCAGTAATGTCTGTGCAAGTGTCTCAAAAGCTTATAGTCCATGTCAAACATTTTCCTATCATCCAGCTTGTCGGCCATCTACCCTCAAATCTCAGCTGTGACTGCTGTGTACTGTGGGGAGATTTCAGTGAATGTTTGCAGGGGTATTTGCCACCTTGTGTGTCGCCCTTGTTCATCTTATGCTGCGTTCCAGTTTCCTCGGAAGTCGGAGCTGGGAGTGACGTTACACCCGAGTTGACGGCATTCCAGTAAACAAGTCGGAAAACTAAGATAGACGCCCACAGTTAGCCATTGTTAGATGTTAACAATTGTTAGCTGTTGTCAGTTGTTTTTAATTGTTGTTAGTTGTTGTTAGTTATACCAGTTGTAAACAAGCATAACACAGTATTTTACTCTTACAAACACCATAGCACTGTGTTCACAGTTAGACATCGGGCAGTACAACATAAACCACTTACTTAATTTCACAAAAACAAAACAGAAGTGCTAATAAATAATACATTATGAGAGTTTTCACTGTTGATGAACTGCTATCTTGGAGTATGACGTAGTCAAGTTGGGGTTGGTAAGGTGCAGAAATCTGACTTCAGTGGGGCGTTCAAGATTAATTCCCGACTTGGAGCTCAGAAATCCTGACTTCCGGGTACAACTAGAAAGCAGCATTGGTCCCCACACAGTCATCATAATTGGATGTAATTATTTACAACAGACTTTAACCTGTTATTGTGAGTACTAATTTCTTTGACACTTTCACCAAACAATGGCTCCTGCCTTCAAACTGCATCAGACTCACTGTCCACCCAGATCAATCACTAACAGTCAGTCACAGAGTTTGAACAGCCTTCCTTTTACGAAGTCGTGTCCAGATTTCACATTGAAGAGAAGATTTTCAATCATCTTTACCATGGTAATAATAAATGTCTTGCTGCTTTCTCAGTGTGCCGTGTGACCTCATCCAAGCTCAACAGAGGTACTTTATCATGTTGAGAGACTTGAGCATAGACCAAGTGACCTAAAGTGACTGAGTGAGTCGACTCCCTTCACAGGACTTGTCTGAGTTCAAGCTGTTAATTCCACCCACATCATCAGGTTGACTGAAAGGCTGAAAAGCAGGAATGGCTTCAAAGTCTACAGCTCCATATGACCAAACCAGTCTAGGGTCGGATCCTACTCCAGACAGAAACATATCTTGTCTGACTGATCACATCCAGCAGCAAAACATCTGATTTTCTTTACTTTCCTTTTCAAGATGAAGAAGTCAGACATTAGTTATCTCCACTAAGAAAAGACTTTCCTGCTTTTTGATTTTACAGCATGTTCACTCATGTCAATTAAAAGTATAATATCTGATATCTGGAGCTTACATGCAGACATAGAAGCATTTGCATCTTAATTTTAGCCCTTTTTTTCCATTCATTGAGATGTACATGAATATTTCCAAACTTCTTCTCTTATTCTTTTTCATTGTGGCGCCGCATTAGATGGTATCAGCTCTTCAGAGGCTGGTTCTTGCCGAGCCCCCTCAGGTATCATTCTTACGCTCACGCTTCCACCATCTGTCGTGCTGGGGTTCACACGGAATTTTCTATTTAATGGCTGAACCGCCCGGTAAAACTGTCTCTTGAAAGTCTCACTGAGGATAATGTAGAGGAATGGGTTGATGCAACTGTTGGCATAGCCCATACTAATGGCTATGTTGTAGGCATAGGAGAAGGCCAGGCTTGGCTTCCTCACACCAAGGTGGACCAACTGAAGGATGTAGTAAGGGGCCCAGCAGATGAAGAAAGCCAGACAGATGGCCACCGCCATCCGGGTCACCTTCCTGGTTCTTACCCTCAAACTTCGAGGAGGCAGGGGGGCCACGCTCGTCGACATGTGGTGCAGGATCTTGAAGAACACCAAGCAGATGATGACCAGAGGTATGGCGAATGCCAAGAAGAACTGGTAGAGCGTAAACCAATATGTGTCAGTGACGGGGTCAGGGAGGAGGAGAGCACAGGCCACCATTCCGTCGGGTAGAGTCATCAGGCCGGCGTACATCCACACGGGGATGATAGTGAGAAGAGACAGACCCCACACTAGAGCGATCACCAGTGCCGCCACACAAGGCGTGCGGATGTGGTTGAAGCGGATGGGATGGACCGTAGCCAAGTAACGATCAAGTGTCATTGCAGTGAGAATGTAAGTACTAACAATTTGGCTGTTAGAGTCCAGCGCAGTGATGACCGTACACATCGCAGCTCCAAAGTGCCAGGTACCGTTGCCCAGCAACTGGTGGATGAGGAACGGCATCCCGAGTAGAAACAAGAGATCAACAAGTGATAAATTTAAGATAAATATATCCGGAACAGTTTGTTTGGCACGACACTTGGTCTTCTTCATGATGGTGTAGATGACAATACAGTTTCCTGTGATACCAAAAAAGCAGATGATGCCAGAGAAGACATGGAGGATGGAGCTGCAATGAAGTCTCCCATCTACAGCTGGAGACAAGAAATAAAAATAATATGTTACTGTTTATTGTACTAGATAGCACATTTTATGTAGCTATGCTGCTTTTACAGCATAAACTCCATCAGTATACACAGCTTGTAATGCAGTCCTCATGCCAGAGTTGCAGGGCAGCCGAGTATTAACAATACAAGTTCTGTCAGGGGATTATTATGTGGGCAAGTCCATTACCAGACAGAAACCCCTTTGAAATTTCTGCCATCTGGCTTCCAGACTCTTTCATTCAGGAAATAATTGATTGCAGGGCACAAGTCACACACATAGAAATCCTGATTTTTCTGTGCCTCTGCCCTGGAAGCAATTATTGATAACACAACAGAGGATAATAATTAAAGAGGGGAGACTTGTGATGTATTTTAAATGTTATTTTCTCTTAAGTAAAGTAACATTTTAAACAAAAAATAAACTGACATTTTGACACAATTTCTCCATCAAAATCAGAGTAGAAATCATTATCAATACTCTAATTTTTCTCAAACATGAAGAAGTTTAAAAATTTCACTGCAGGTTAAATTTGAAGACAAGTAATAGGATGATTTTTAAAGGATATGAGATAACTTTCCAAAATAGAGTGGAGATAAATAAAAGCAGCATTTGTTGCACTTTTGAATGATGCCTTTAGGAGGTAAATGAGGCTGCATCACATAACCGTGCGCTGTAAACTCTTCCTACCTGCTGTCGTTGAATTGTTGTCCTCGAGAGAAAAATTGGAGAGGTTCAAGAAATCCATCGGAAAAAAATCAAAAGTGAATCCAAGTTAAGAAGCATTAAGAAGTACCGGTTTCCCTCAGAAAATGCATCAGGGGCCACATGATGACAAAAATACCGCTAATCTTACAGCGATAACTGAAATCGTAGTTGGAGGAATTTAGTTGTTTGCAGTAAGAAAACCTCTTGAGGAACGATTTGCTTTCCTGGTGGTGCCTAAACCTCTTCTGGGTAAGAGTGGAGGAGAAGCCAGAGTGAGGATCCTCGATGCTGTGGAGCGACTGCGGCTGCAGGTGTCAGTCTGGCTGCTGATGTTGGTAATTGAAAGTCTCTCTCCTGGAAGAGAGCGAGTGTGCGTAAAAGCGCGCACACGGACATGCTGGATCGAAATTAATCTGTTATTTTTCTGAGCATAGACGATCTTGGAAAGGATTTGAGGATTTAAAAGCTCAGAATGAATCAATGGATAAATAATTTGGGGTGGGGGGAAGACAGAGAGTAAAGGTAATCTACATTTAAAATATGGTTTAATAGTTTAAAAATGTCCCCTTTCCTTCTTTAACAAAACAAGTTATTCACGTTTATTGGGAGTCTGAGAAGCTGTGACATGTTTTTGTCCCAGTGGGCTGTAATTACTGCGTGTTTGTGGCTTGAGAAGGAGCAGACAACGAGCAACAGGTGTTTCCACTTGGCTGCAAATGAATAAATGACTCCTGGAAATGACTGTCAGGTTCAGTCCGTTTAACAGACACGGAACACTGGAGTCAATTCCACTTTGAGCCACAAGATGACTCTGCAGCGCATCATTTGGCAGTCCTTACATGACTCCTTCCTGAAAATTAGATGTTAATATGAAGCTGAAAATGGGGGTCATAAAGTGTTTTTCACGGAGCCTCGGGGGTTTTTGCTCACGTGCAGGCTCGTGATGGGAACACACATTTAATAAGATGATTTGTTAACAGCCGAAAAGTGTGGGACTTGTTGGCTGAAGTTTCTGTTTTGGAGTAAAATCAGGAAAATCCCACTAATGTTTGTTGGTGGTGCAAACTTTGTAAACTGTGTAATCTCAGATGTTTTAATTTCTTTGATTATTGATGAGTCACTGTCACTGATTGAAGTAGGTTTGTGTTTGGGAGTGTCTCTGTGTATGTGATGCTCTAAATAGGACACATGTAAAATTGTTCCCTTATACAGACAACAGATGTTAAAACAATTTCGTTGAGAGGTTGCAATTTTAAACTCATACTTGACAGTTTAAGTAGGAAGGTTTTCATGATTATAATTGATTCTGACAATTTGCAATTAGTCTTTTCTTCTCCAGAACAGTGTTGTGCATTGAAAGTTGTCAGCTGTGGTTTTAAAAACATCTGTGAAGGTGGCATGTTCATTGTAAAGAAATCACTCTATGCTTCTCTACTATTTACTTATTATTAAACCAAGCCAGTACTCTCAAAAGCTCCCTTTCTCTGAGTCCATCAAACCTAATCTCTGGCCCAAAACAGTTGATTGAAGGTAGCTGAAGGCAACACGCTCATGCTTCAAAGAACTTATTCATAGATATCTGAATTAAATATGACTCGCAAATCTTCTTATTCTTTGAAGCCCGTCATGACCTTTGCAAGTAATTTTTCAATCGTCATTCAGGAAGTTTTCATTCCTTTAACACCGATCCATGTCAATAAATTCTCACGACACTCCACATAAAAAAACGTGTTTGCTATGTAATCTTTATTTTATTCATCAAAACCACAAAATAACACTTAGATTCATGTTATATATCCTTGGAAAGCAGAAGAGAAAAATGATGAATAGGGCAAAATCAAATCCTAACCACAACAACAACATCAGATAATATAGACGTACAGCCACTACTGTGTTAATGATGGAGAAAACTGTGTTGCAAGAACAGAACTAGAGAAATATTGACAACCAACTGATAATAAATGTGACAGTTCAAGTAAACAGTTTTAATGGCAGCAACAACAACAGGAAGTGACAGGAGGGCTGATGTTATCGATCAGAGTAGCCAGAGTCACAGCCTGAAGATAAGTATTAACGCTACAAAAAGCAAGACTGGTACTATTGATTGTATAACGGGTGAAGTCAGGCAGGGAGACTTCAACAGCCGAGATCCACAGGAACCTACAAGACAAGAAACTCTGAGTCCTTATAAGATATAGTGCATGGTTAGTAATCTGAATGGAACACAATTATTTAGTGAATTACACTCATGCATAGGAATGATCAGAGGCAGAGGGAGACTCAAAGGGTGCTACAGTGGCCATGTTTACATGTGCAAAATCCAATTAAAAGTTTGAGGGATCAGATAATCTGAATCCACTGTTTATATCGGTGCAAAATCAAATAATCCGATTGCGTATACATGCACCAAGCTTTGTTCCGATCAGAATCATTTGGACATGCTCAGAGTTGTCTGATTTCGCTAGAATAACAGCTGAACAAGAGTTGTATTGACGCCTGTGCTGTCAACAAACCAACAAACCCAGTAGTGGCTCACTCCACCCAGTTCAGGAGTTTCCCCTCTTGTTAAATGTAGATAACTAGATGGCGCTCTTGCGTACTGATTTAACTGTTTTATCAAAGGTTGCACTGTGCGTGCAGATGTGACATCATTACGCTGTATGTACGCCTTGTTATGTCACCGGAAGAGCAGACACGGTACCTGTGTTTGTGTTTTATGCCAGAGTGTTAAGAATGAAACCTTCTGGACACAATTTTATTATTTTTTTGGAGGATGGTAGGGGAAGGTTCCGCCCTCCTTCGCCTCTGATTAGCTAGAAGTGCTGGGCTCCGATTGGTTATTCCTAATGGTTGTCAAACGTCATCATCTGCCAGGTTAGGGTTAGGGTAAGGGTTAGGAGATTCAGAAGTGCGATAATGTTTTGTAATGTTCTGTTCGACGTACAGAACTGACAGCCCGCGTTTGGCTTGAGCGTGTAATGACATTTCCAGCTTTTCTAGCCAATCAGAGGTGAAGGAGGCGGGACTTTCCCCTACCGTCCTACAAAAAAAAAAAAATCGCCTCCTTAACTGGCCTCAATAAATAAGCCAAAGGCTAAAGAGTGAAGATGGAGTCGGGAAAGAGAGTCACGATCGGATAAAATGTTTACATGGATGCATTTCGGAATAACAATCGGCATAAACCACCCATCTTGATCGGAATACAATTTCTTAATAAATGAGCCGAATTGGATCAGAATCTTCCGATCGACATGTTTACATGAAGCATTTGTATTCCGAATATTCGTGCCCATGTAAATGCAGCTAGTGTAATGTAGCAACCTAAGACTGCATTACCCACCTGCCTTTTTAAAAATAAAGTTTGGAGCCTTCATTTTTAAAGTGAAGTGGATGCTAAGTGGTAAACGTTTCCAAAAAGAGAGGCCTGATAACTGGAGCCTCTGTCTGCCATACTAATTTAAAAAAGCAGGCCTGCATTCAGAGAAAGAGTAAAAGGTTTTAGAGAAGTAATAGAGCACCATGAGCTCATTTGAATAAGATGATGCCAGAATACTGAGAGCTTTGTAGATGAGAGGGATTTTTTTATTTCTCCATGATTTGGTGAACCAGTGTGGAAAAGCCAGTAGAGGTGGTTAATGTGTTTGAGTCGGCTGTGGATTACCTCATCCATCACAAGTCCACCAAGTATCCTCCAATCAAAAACTAATTTTATGTAGGTTGAGCTGTACGAACTGACAGGAAGAAAGTCTAAATCCCTTTTTAACTGTAAGTTCCTCCAACTCTGATTAGGTGTCTCACTCAGATTTCTGTTTGAATTATGAAAGTTTTCTGTTTTATTGGAACTATCTCTCCACTCCATTCAAGGTGGATAATTCTCTGTAAGACAATCCACCTTCAAGGAGGCTGATGATCATGTAAGACCATGACCATGTAAGCTGTCATGGATCGTTTAGTTTCCAATAGAGCAGGTTAATATTGATGTGAATTTACTGTATATGGTGTGTGAAAGCAAGTTGGAAGAAGACAGAGTTTGCCACTTATCAGTGTGGGCTGTAATGTCACCATGAGCTGTTAAACCTTAGATCTCTGTTGGCAGTGAGAACAAAGTCATAACATCGAGCCTTTCTTTTAATTATTTAATATTTTTCTTATTTCATATCGTGAAGGTTAGTTTAATTTTTTCTTTGTTTGTATATTGCACTTAATCAAGCAGTAAAAGCTTTCAACGGTAAAGAAAAAGTGGAATGGAGAAAAAAATAATGCTTTTAAAGAAATTACTCAGAGCTTATGAGAAAGAGGAGACAGAGTCAACCAATTAGCATGCCAAACAGCAATGTGTTATTTCAAATTAATGTATTTATACTTCAGATTGTTAGCCATATGAACTCAAAGCTGATTTTAATTACACAGTTTGTGAAGTTGAATTATATTTCTAATGACTATATGCAGACATTTGATCATTATTCTTCTAGGGGAGAAAGAGAAACACAGCCTGAGTCTGGGTTGTGCTCCACCACTGTTCATTACTTAGTCTTAACAGTTCAGACCAATTTGCTTTGCATGCAGTTGAGATTATGCACATTTTGATTAGTTTTTTTATTTTTAATGGGGAGTACTGTTTTCACATATTAATTGGGTTACTGTAAAACCATGCTAATCTCAGTTCTGATTTTTAACATCGATATCTTTTAACAAACGTTTGAGAAGAGTTCTTTGTTGTTAGTTTCAACCCCAACTAGTGTCACTTTCTGCTCATTAAAAACTCCTGATAGGAGTTTTTTAATTGAAAATGAAATTGACTGAATTCATTTTGAAGCCTTTTTGTGACAAACATGAGCAAAAAAAAAAAAAAACCTTCAGAGATAAAACAGTTATTTTTTTAATTGTATTTCTGAGTGTCTGAAACTGTCAGCTCAGCCCTGTTTTCACATTTTATGCATAATATATTTACAATAAATGATACAGTTGGCTTTAAAAGCAGGATGAGATTTTTTTAAATAAATGACAGTACATAGATATATAATTTAATGGTTGGATAAGGGGAGACTGATTTGTCCACAGGGGGCGCCAAACGATACAAACAAAAAGATCTTCACACGAGCTGTTAGAACGGCAAGCAGATTATAGATCTAGTGTATGGTATGTAAAAGCATAAACCTAATATACGTAAATGCCTCATTATGTGCTGGAGCGTTATCTAGTGTCACCACCAAATTGGATGGGTCTAATTTTGGTTATTTTTTAATATGTGACAGCATCCTGTATCACATCTGTTGTTTGTAACAAACCAAAACATGTTAAAAATCAGGTAAAAATCAGGGAGTTATGATTAATTTAGTTGGGCATACCTACCTTACGCAATAGGAATAAATGCACCTAAGCTGCATGGGGGACCTATCCAAGATGGCAGCCACATTGATACGTGAGCTCCAATAGGCAGCGTCAGTCTATGAGGCGTTTACGTATATTATTGCTGAGTTCCAGTTACCTTGGAAGTTGGAACTGGGAATGACGTTACAACTGAGTTGGCGGCGTTCCAGTAACCAAGATGAAAGCCTACTGTTAGTCGTTGTTTACATTTGTCAGCTGTCATTAGCCATTGTCGGTTGTTGTTAGCTGTTGTTAGCTATACCAGTTGTAAACAATTCATAACACAGTATTTTACACTTACAAAGCACCGTTTTCACAGTTAGACGTTGGGCAGTG